GGTTCCTCACAGGCGGCCAGGGGTTCCCTGCAGCGGCCGGGGGTTCCCTACAGGCGGCCAGGGTTCCCTGCAAAAGCCAGGGGTTCCCTACAGGTGGCTGGCGCCTCCCTGCAGGCATGGCCACCGGCCCTGGGGTGCCCCTCGTGCATGCTTGTGGCCCCATTTCCTTTGTATTCATGCTTGGCTATATGGGAGATGCATCGAAAATAGCTTTATTTGAAATACAAGATGAGGCTTGAACTCTGGTTTGCAACGAGAGAGGAAGCCTGTTACAAGAGGCGGTTCACAAGCCGTCATGTGCTTTACGAGTGCCCTTGACCTCACGTAGGCACAAGTAGTCATTTTAGCATTAACAGACATCATATATTTTTAGAATTTATTTGCAGCATTTATATTTTGAAGTATACATGAAATTTCCTATTTTATCATTCAATCCCAGGTCTGACAAAAAGGGTAGCTTTAACTGGCTTTTTTAATAAGATCACATTATCAAGCGATTGTGCGAATCCGATGTTTTAATGATTAGCGGGTGGGTGAAAAGTCTGGGTATGAAAATAATTCTCAGTGCTTGCTGCTGGTTGGAAGAAACCAGACCCAGGACTGGCAGGTCTGAGCAGGGGCGCGAGGGCCTCCCCAACGGGGCTCCCGGCCGCCCACAGCCGCTCTGTGGATTGTTACTGGACGAGGTTTCCTAAAACAGTACTGGTGTGAAGTCCATGGCCGGTTTTAGAGAAACAGTCCAGGCCGGAGTCCACAGTTCACGTTCACCGAGAAAGCGAGCCACACGGTTCCTGGAGGGCTGACCTTGTGCCCACATCACAGGCCTTGGGACGGTTCTTAGGGTGCGTGTGGTTGTGTGAACACCCCCCAGCACTCCTTGATGATCTCTATACGGGATGGAAGTACTTTCCAGACATTCCCATGTGGGGGGGGGGGTTCTGATCTCCCGAAGGCCCCAGATGGAGCCCCAACGTGTGCACATCAGAACTGACAGCTGGTTAGTGAGGACTTAGGATCATCTAGGATTAGTCTAGGCTTTAACTTCCTGTGTGACTCACTGGTGCAAAAAAACCGTGGTGGTAGTTCTGCCCTGACCCGTTTCCCGCTTGTTCTACCAAGGAGGAACCTCGGAAGCTGCACCTGCTCGGCGGGCAGGCTCGACTTTGTTCCTTGTACAATCTCGTGTAACGGGGCAGGACCGATGGAAGAGGTGGCTTCATTTACTTTTAATCTTGCGGGTTTCGAGATTAGAAAATGGCATATTTGCTCTGACACGTTCGAGAAGACAAAGTTACGTTGGGCAGAATTTTTTCTTCTTTTATAAATTCCTGTTATTTTCAAAGCGGAGCATGTTTTGTGAAAACACCTATGTACAATTTAAAGAGCAAGAATAAAATGAACGATGGTGTACCTACCGGCCAGGCCCAGAGTCCCCGTGTGTCCTTAGGGGCTGACCCCGCCCCTCCCCGCCCCTCCACAGAGGTGACTGTTTGCAGCGTGCTGTTCCCTTGGTCCGCGTGAGGGGAGGGGACGCACACAACACACACTTTGGCATAGGATTGTTTTGAGCTGAAGACCATGAGGCCGCAAATGCAGAAGGAGCTTCCTGCCCCCCACCCGCCCCGTCCCCGCTAAGAGTGGGACATAAACTTCCCCTTGAGAAGGTGTGCCCTCCTCTCCGCTTCCAGGAGCACAACCCCGTCCACCGCGTCTACGTCTACTGTCTACCGCTGGGGAGGTGGGTCTGCACAAGCCTAGATCCTCCATTATGTCCCACACAAAATTCCCCAGTAGGGGGCGCCCGGGTGGCTCGGTTAAGTGGCCGACTTCGGCTCAGGTCACCGTATCACGGTTCGTGAGTTCGAGCCCGGCGTCGGGCTCTGTGCTGACAGCTCGGAGCCTGGAGCCCGCTTCGGATTTTGTGTCCCTCTCTGCCCCTCCCCCACTTGTGTACGCACGTGCACTCTCTCTCAAAAAATAAATTATTACATAAATGAATAAGCATTAAAAAAAATTCCCCAGTAAAGTCACGTTAACTTAGAAGCCCAAACCCCTTTCCTTCCTTTTTTTTTTTTTTTCTTTTTCTGGGGGGTGGCGAGCGAGACAGGATCCTAAGCAGGCTCTGTGCTGATAGCAGCCCAATATGGGGCTTGAACTCACAAACCTCAAGATTTGTGACCCGAGCTGAAGTCAGACACTCCATCGACTGAGCCACCCAGGCGGCCCCCTCCCAAACCCTGGTGTCCTTCTGTCACTTCTTGACAAAGGTAAGCGTCCTCTTGCTAAAATGCTACATAAGCCCTGGGTTTAACCACCTCCGTGGGACTTCGCATGAACTAAACATCAGCATCAAATCAAAGCGCTGTGTCCTTCCTCCCGTCCATCCACCTCCCGTCGGCTTATCTGGCAGGACAGGACACGGCTGCTGAGCCCCAGCGGGCAGTAGCGGGGTCTTCCTTCCTGAGGGCTCAGAGGCTCAGGCACATGGTTCAGTTCCACGCACTTCGCTCATCGTGTGAAAGGAAACCCCCCGCGTGCTGTCTTCTGTAACTTCTTCATTCCGCACGTTTTGAGATGTTTTCATCACGAAACTGAACTTCCCGGCGTGCGAACGCTGCACTCGCCATTTAGAAGGGTCCTCGCTCAGGTCTTTCAACAGTTTTAGAATTTTCCCTGAAGTCTCTTTTCATCCTGTTTAGATATATTCCTAAAAAATGTATTTTGGGGCTGTTACCTCCTAAAAACAAAATTTTTATTTTACATAAAAATGGGATTTTTTTAACGTACCACATACCACACGGTCTCCAGAAAACGTGCCTCGTGTGACAGCTGTAGACCTGGGGTTTCCCCAGTCCCATCACCTACCCGCAGGAGTCCTCGAGGAGATGCCTTTACGACCTTACACATTTCGGGTCGCCCTGTCTGCACCAGCTCGGACTGCTAAGGACAGAAGGGACAACAGTGCCTCTAAGGGAGCAGGGTCCGGGACCCTGCAGAAGGAAGGGGCGGGCTTCCCTGCTCCGGTGGGTTCTGGGGGCTTCCCCACACCCCCCCGCACAGGACAGGGTCTTCTGGATCCTTCCTCACCTCGCGGGCAGTGGCTGCCCCCTGAATCTCCCGCAGCCTTCAGGGCCATCACACCCCGAGTAGCCAACCCCTCACTCCAGCCTCCGTTAACAGCAGACGCGTTCGGAGTCAGCTCCGCGTGTTGGTTGAACGGAATCACCACCTTTGGCTCCTGACCGCGTGGTGACAGCCCCCCAGGCCACGTGTGGCCCTCGCATTTACTCACACGGTCCTGAGACTCGCCCGCTAGATGCTGTTACAGAAGAAACCGCGGGTGCCCGTGAAGGGAAGCCCGCTTGAACAAGACCGTTAACGAATGACTCTGTGTTCCTGTCTCCTCCGTCCCCGGACCAAGGAGCACTGCAGGGGCTCGATCTCTCCAAGAACAGAGGCCAAGTACTACAGGGGCACCGAGTCGCCTTTTTTGGCTTCACGGACCCCCAGGTGAAGCCAGAGACGGCCTCTCCAGAGTGCTGCTGTGAAATGCCGTGTCCAGGCCCCCAAAGGAAACCAACCACGCTGAAATACAGCCAGCAAAGTTTTCGATCATGATTAGGCAGCTCTGTGCTGTTTCACTGGCACATCAAGTAGGAAAACAGACGTAGAACCCGGAGCCCTGCCAGCGAGGATGGGTGGGGCCTGTGCCGCCCACACCCTGGGCTTGGACCCCTCCTCACCCTTCTGCCTCCAGAGAGCAGGTGTCCCCACAGGGCCGGGCGCTCGCAGGGACCGTCCTGTCGAGCTGTGCTGCAGAGGGGCGAGCGGGGGCTCTGGAGCTGGGCAAGCCCTCTCTTGCTGTCAGGAGAGTCGGGTTGGGGGACGGCACGGGGATTCCCAGGGACCACTGGCCCTTCATGGCTACGTCCCAGCCCCTCGGACAGTGCCTGCGGCAGATGGATGGGGAGACGGCTGGACGGACAGGTGGGTGGAGGCAGGACACAAGGCCACGCCTCTGGGGGCAGAGCCGGCCCATCAGACCTGGTTTCTGTCCAGCTCCAGCTCACCTGGTGGGAGCTGGGTGGGTCTCTGCCTCCCGCGGGCTCCTGTGGGCTCGGGGTGCTGGGGGCTGGACGCCCTCAGTCGTGTGCAGTTCGGCTCGCTGCGGGACCGCGGCGGGTTCAGAAGTCGGCCCGGTTCCTGCATCCCTCTGTCTCCAGGGTCAGTGTCTGGATCGGCCAAGCCACAGGTGCCACTGGGGATCCCTCTGCCCGGGGTCCTCAAGTCCCCCCACCTCTCAGCCTCAGACCCCAGGGGAGGGCCCCAGAGACGCCCACCCCTCCCAGTGAGGTCACGCCCAGGCGGGGCCGATGCCTGCACCCCAAACCCGGGGCGCCGCTTCTGTCCCTTCCCCAGGCTCCCCCGCAGCCCTGCAGTGATGGTCCCACCACCCACTGCCACCCGGTGCCAGGCCCGGGACGCCCCAACCTGCAAGCTGCCGGCCCCACTGGCCTACAGTCTCCTTCTAGGACCTGGGGCCCTGCTCCCTGCTCCCCCCAGCTCCTCGATGTCCACGGGCCCCCGGGACCCTCCTTCGTGGCCCCATCCCACAGCCCGCTCCCCGGGCACCCACCTCACCCCCCGCGGTCACCAAGACAGCTGTGGCGCCCCAAACCCCCAGTACCCTCCAGTGCCCTGGTGGCCGCGGGATTCCTGGGCTCCCGCTGCCCGTGACGCACTCGGGCTCTGCCAGGAAAGCCGAGCGCACCCCCCTTCCCGCCCCCCACCGCTCCCCTGAGCACAAAGCACGTCAGGTTTATTTAAATAAAAATTATAATTTATACAAGACTTCTTTAAACAAACAGTTTTCTTAAAAAAACGTTACAGGGGATTTTTCATTGGTTCTTCATACAGTACAATCCTCTCGTTGAACAAAAATGACAGCAGTAACGACTATTTACAGATCCAAAATAGACTCGAGCTTCAGACGTAGAAAACGTAACATTCCTTCTAGTTCAGCGATCAGTCCTAGAAACGCAGTATCTGCCCAGATTTACACAATTCGATAGAAACGACGGCTCGCTCTGCCAGGAGGCCCGGAGCCGCCTTCCTCCCGGCGGGGCCTGGGCGCCCACAGAACCCGGTGCCCCCCGGGGCCGCGCTCGGCACGTGGTCAGTTGTCATCGCCCTTTCTCCTCAAAAGGGACTCGAACCAAACCACCCCCTCTGCCGAGGAGGGCGAGGCCACCCCGCGGACAGGCCACACACCGACCCCTTGGCGGCCCCGGGGGTCGCCCTGCAGCCTGTCCCCATGTGCCTCGGGCGCTGAGGGAGGATCTGCCGGGGTGGGGGGGGGTCCCCAGGTGTGCCCTAAACCTCCACGGGGCCACGAGAGCCGGTCCAGCTGCGCGGCAGCCAAAGCCAAGGTTTACGGCGGGCTCCGCCTCCGTTGTTAGGGAAGGGCGGCCCGCAGGGTCCCGTCAACAGCACGGCCGGAGCTGGTGGGTGCCATGGGCGCCCTCAGATCTCACCGACTGGGTCGGGGGTGTGCTTCATCAGGCTGGTCGGCTGAGCCCCCCGGAGGCGCTGCCCGGGCCCCGGAGCGTGGCCCTACGGTCCCCCGGGAAGCGGGGGCGGGGGGGGGGACGTGAGCGATGCCACCGGGTCTCACCCAAACCAGCAAATTAGGATTAGAGCAAAGGTAAAAATTACATCTGAAAAATGATACAAAAATAAGAAAAACAGCTTGCTCTCTGTAAAAAATATAATCTTCTGTTTCTTCAAAAAACAATCCCAGTGACACCCAAAAGGACTCAGGACAAGCCAAGGAGCTGGAGTAGTCGAGTCGGAAGTGCGCTGACCGCCACGATCTCAGCCTGTCCTTCACAGACGTCACAGGCCTGTCCCCACACGGCACCATCCCCGCCCCCGGCCACAGGAGCGCTGGCTTCCCCAGGCGTCGGGGGGGGGGGGGGCAGACCGGTGCCAGCTCACCCTCACCCCCCCCGAGCGTGTGCCAGCACAGCTGTGTGCCCACCAGGACACCATCAGACGTCAGGGGTGCAGACCGCCCGGCCCCAAACCTCCGGGCTCCGCTCACGGCCACTCCCTCGAGCCGGTGCCCTCCGGAGCATCCCCGTACGGCTCCCCGGGGCAGACCAGCCGCAAGCCCGGCCGCTCCTGTCCGCCCCCGCCCACCCCAGAACCCCCTCCCTCGTCCGGAGGGCAGCGCCAGCCACGCAGCGGCTGATATCCGTCTGAGAGCAACCACGGCTTGGGGTGCCCCCAAAGGTCTTGGGACGCGTTCTGCGGGGCTCTCCAAAGGGCAAAGCGTTAAAAAGATGTGCTTCTGCGGCACATCACTCTGAATCCGCAGCGGTTACCACGCCCGGGACTCCCGGGGGCTCGTCAGGACGGGGTGGGGGTGGGGGCGGGGGGCCCCGGCCCAGCCAGCCTCGCTTCCCCCACGAAGGGCAGCACAGAGCTGAAGCCGGACGGGGCCGCACCCCCGGCCCAGATCTCGCCCTGAGGACGCGCGGCTGGGGGTCTCGCCAGAGGAAAGACCCGTTCCGGCTGGCAGTCGGTGAAGGGGCCTCTGAGCTGCTCGTCACAGACGTCCTTCACCCCCAGGAGGAGGGAGTGCTTGTTCCTTAGCTATGGCTTCTGGTGTGGAAGAGCTTCAGCCTCCGGAGGGCTGGGTGCGCGGCTGGCGCGGGGGCTCTGGCCAGGCGGGGGCTCAGAAACAGCCGCTGCGCTCGGCGGTGGCTGGGGCCGGCGCGTCCTGCGTGTCCTCCGTTCCACGGGCCTCCGATGATCCCCTGCCTCCGTGTCCACGCGGTCGTGGGACACGCCTCACCCGTCAGATGGGCTGGCGCTGTCTGCGGGCCCCAACCCCTGCGTGAAGGGTCCGTAAGACGCAGGGTAAACACAACAGAAACCACAGATCGAGGGGAATTATTGCAAAGGATCAGGAGGATGTCCAAAGTGGTTCCACCATCAAATCGTTAAAAAAACAAACGACAAACAAGAAACCAAAGCAACAACAACAAAAAGCCTTCCAGCGAATCCCGGAAGAACGGACACTAGCTGTCACTACCAGACGCGGCTGCGGCTGTGATCTTCATGTACTGGCTGAAAATGGTCTCGAAGGCCTCGTCTCTATGCACCATGGCACCAAACACCAGCGGCTGGTGGGGAGGAAAGGCGGTGGGTGACCCGGCACGGGCACGCAGCCAGGAGGACCGCCCCCAACACAGGCCCTGCCTGGCCCCAGGCCAGGTCCTAGCAGAGCCCCTCAGGCTCTGGTGCTCAAGGGCAGACCCCCCCCTCCACCCAGAGGCCAGGCCCCCCCGGCCTTCGGGGGGACCCCCGGCTCACCCTCCCCCGCTGCGGGCCTCAGCCCCCACCTGACCCACACCGGAGAGAGCAGCAGGGCTCCTGTGGCCGCGGGGAGGGAGGGAGGGAGGGAGGGAGGGAAGGAGGGAGGGA